TCACAATGATATGGCTATTGAAAAAAATATTAATGAAGAAAATATTAATGAAGATATTAAATCAAAACAACCAAAAACAAAAATCAAGACAATCAAAGGAATTTTCAAATTGTTTTTTTTGGAAATAGCCTGTAGAGAGTAGGTATAGTGGATATATTCATGCACACCAACTGTCTCATATTGGAGAATGAGATAATTTTTCCTCTGCATACTTAAAACAGCTCTTAAATGTTCCACTTCATAAGCCACAACCAACAAAATCAAAGTATATGACACCAAAATCTGCATAGACAATTTCAATAGATACAAAGCCCAGTGAGTATTACATGTCATTCAAACAAATTTAACAAATTCTCAAATTCAGGTCTAAATTAGTATACTTCACTTACTCTAGTTGAAGAAGAATATGATGAAGGTAAGAACTGTATTTATACTATTAATCTTATATATATAATAGTTGGTTCTAATTGTTTAAAACTAAAAGATAACATAAATTTGGATCAAAATAATGAAGGAGAAAATGTGATAAATAATAGTAAGTAATATAGTTCTAAGATATATATTTATTATATTTTTCAATCAATTTATTCAGATTCTATAGTTTTAATCACAATTTCAAGATATATAGTATAAAGAAATTAATAAATATTATAATTATTTTACCCGTTAATTTACTTTTCCTGTAGTGAGATTGATGTAGAATTTCTATTAACTAAAGGGTAGACGTTAAAAGATAGTCAAAAATTAGGTAACAGGGGTGGTACTAGAATAAAAAAAATATAAGAGCTATGTTAGAACACTTTTTTTTATATGAAAATCAAAAACCTGAAGAAAAAATAAGCACAAAAGCTATGCATGGAGAGCTTCTGGAATATACTGAAGGTGGCAAGATAGAAAAGAAGAATATTCCAAAAATTCACACAATAAAAAATTGGTTAAATTCATATGCTCAAGCCTTTAAGAAAAGGGTAGCAGAACACGAGCTTGAATTAGTACATAAATAAAATATTCTATATATTTGAAAGATAATTTATAATTTTTAGAAAAAATTTCGTAGACATTTTTTTTTGTAACTAGAATTATAATAAATATCTTACTTTTTTGCAATACTTAAGTTTTCTGTATTCTAAAAATAAAATTTTCAATGACTCCTCTTAACAAGTATGCTAGTAAAGTATAAGTGAATTCTTAAAGTATAAAATATCTACTTGGCAACACATACCAAATTAGAAAGCCATTAATCATAAACGGTTCTTTTTAAAGTTTTAAATTGTATGTTATTAATGAGAAACATGTATGCACTTGAATTCTCTAACTTGTAATAGCCATAAAATATACCCAGATATTTTATAAGTTTTCTGGTAAGTATTTCATTTTAGATTACAAGTCTTTAATTTGTGTAGTATGGTACTCATGAAATTTTGTCTTCATAATTAACTGCTATTTTTTTTTATTTAGTTGGTTCTTTATTTAGAAATAAAAAAAAAAAGCTTACAACTTAACCTTCGTATTTCTTGTTATTTTTTTAAAAAGGGTCTAAAAATTTTCAGATCTTGAGAAGAATATTATAGGTAGAAGGTTATTACTCAGTGTAGAAGTAATCTTAATGATTTACTTCAACTTTTTTACGTACAGTAATAAGCCCTTGTCGAATAGGTTTTGTTTTATTAAAAAACTTCAGCGATCTATTGTTAGTAGTATAAAAAGCTTAAATGCGAGATTTTAAAATTTAGATTATTAAAAATTTAAGCACATATATTAATTCGATATTATTAAGTTTTACTTAGTAAATATTGCGATCGTCCAAAGTAAACTTTTTGTAGAAAAATTTTTGTATTTCATGGTTTTGATATTAAAACCTTGTAATACTTCTTTATTGTTTGTACTACTTTTATTACTAAATTTATTTAAAATTTATTGTTTTTACTTATAATGATAAAACTTCAAGTTGAACCTTATATATATGTGATTTGCATTATGTTATCTATAAAAATTTGATCAGTTGATTGGCAAATCTTCAATTAATAATAAATTAATTTAGATTTTAAAAAAAATAAATATAAATATATGTCGAATATAATTAATATAAGTCAAATATAATTAATATAAGTCAAATAT